TTGAGCCGTTAACTCCTATATGCCCTACCACCGTTAACTGGTAGTTTGAGATGTTAACTCCTGGGATCTAACGTCTAGCAGCCCACTGCTGTCACCTCGGTTGCTGTAATTAGCTTTTTGAATTTAATAATTTACTGAATTTAATCTCATTCACTCACCAACGCGCTCCAACGGTTCCCTCCTACAGAGGATTGGTTCACTCTGTCGTCTCCACACAAATCTATAAGAATGGAATTAATTTGATAAGCTATTTAAGTTTCCTTTTTTTTTTTAAGTTGCATCGTTAGCTTTTTCTCTTCTTTTTTCTTTACTCACCGCGTTGGTTCCAAGTTCCTAGCTCTTATTAGAAGGAGTCAAGTCCGCCTCTCCCTCTATCTATGCGGCACCCAAATCAGGGTTCTTCACGGCCTCGACCGTTGTTTTTTTTTCTCTCTCTCTCTCTCTAACCGCTCAGTCTTTGCTTTCTGTATCTGCGTGCTGCACAGCCGTTTGTCTCTCCTCTCGCTCAGCTGCGTCGCACGGTTTTATTTCGCGGAGGCGGGACTTATTTCTCTCAGCCAATGAAATTTCAGATTCCCACCTGGACCAATAGTATACAGCTTTCCTCTTCTGTTTCTGTTAGTGATGTTCAAGATTCTTGTTTTAACCGATGTTTAATATTAAACTCGTTATTTTAGTTATTCACCCTTCCAATAATTCATTATGAAATTATCTATTAGTTAATTAGATATCTATTAATTAGTATTGTTAATTTCCTTAATTTATATTTTATATTTTATCTAAATTGAGGATGGATCATATTAGTAAGCCAATTAGTTAATACCTCATTAAGGTTCTAGCTTCTGGGTTACAGTTAGCTTCTACTAGCCGAGACGTTCTCTGCTGTTTCCTGGACGTTAAATCAACAACAGCCTTCCCCGCCGCCAGTCAAAATGGGTGAGTCCATGAATGTTAAAGCTACAATGGCAAATTTGGAAAATAAAGTAGATTTTTTTTATTTCATGCCTCTTAACAACATTTTAACACGGGATAGTTATAAATGTATTGTGACGATAAAAAGATGAACAAAGTGGTTCTCTTGCATTGTCTAAAAATCCCCGCTAAGCAACAGCTGGACCATCCGGATGTCGGTCTTGCTGAACCACTGCACTTTCCTGGGTCCACCATTACGCACTCACGTATTCCGCCACAGAACACCGCTGGTGTGAGAAGTTCTCTGCCCAATGAAATTAAGAGAAGGAGAAACACCCAGCTGCTACCACTTCAACTTTAGGGCAAACTACCAGAGTCCCAAAAAGAAAAGCACCATTTGAAGTCAAGGACAACAAAAGATGTTAAGACCTAGAAAATGGCGACTGGTGTTTTGCGCTATCTCGTTTCCTACGGCATTGAGTGTTTCCGGTTCCGGCAGAAGCTTCTCAGGGGAGGGGAGGGGTGAGTGTTCTGTGACCATGTTTATGTTCAAAATCTAGCTTGTTCTGTAGATTAACTAAAGCAGTGTTGGGTGACGTGGACCTGTCAGGGTTTTCAATTCTTAGAGTTTCATCGTCTATTTCCCGTCAGAAGCTAATATAGGAGATAGGTGTAGGAGACTATTTTCATCTTCAGCCTGCATGAAAAACTCAGCGTAACTGATAATTATCAGAAATAATCATTATTTTTTTTCAGAGACGTTGACCTTTAAAGAAAGGGTAAATGAAAGCAGGTTGGCCATTTTTGCCCCACTCACCAATGTTTCTCCACACTTTAGTGTTTGTGAATTGTGTTTAAATCGCATTTAAATGAGGAAAAATGTGGAATTTGGATGTCTCCTTCCATTTTTCCTATGCACATAGAATCGGCCAGACTACGAAGGATAAACAACAAAGATCCACATTTATTTCAGTTTTATCTACGTAAGACAAACCAGGAGTTTATGAAGCATGTTTAAACTCAGTATCTGATTTAGCAACTTTTTTATATAAATAATCCTCCTTGCCCTCTCTGTTGCTCCCGTGCTTGAGCCAATCATTGTTTTATCCCTCTCGGCTGTGATTTTAGCTGAATGGTTCACACTCGTTTAGATGGATGGACAAATGGACGGTTGGATGCACGGACGGGAGGACGTGTGGATGAGGCGGCGACTGACGTCACAGCTGTTTCACTGTGCTTTTCCAGCAAAACAAACCAGAGTCATCGAGAACACATGTGGGTGGATTCAGAAACACTTCAGCGCTGTGTTGTATCTTTTTTTAAACCAAAATAACATGCATCTGTATTTTCACGTGAAACTGTATTTATTTGACAAGTTCATCTGAAAGATTTATGAGTTTGCTTCTCTTGATGTTGATACAGCTATGAAAATTCAAGAAAAATAAAAGAACATATATTCCATATAGGTTTCATGCAACGAGTCAAGTATCAAACTCCAAAAGGAAGTCAGTTGTGATGTTTTGGTTTCCTACGAGATTTAAAAAGGGATTTACTCTTGGGTAATAAGTGCAAATGTTCCACTTCTAAGCTAAACCTGCTGGATCAAAAATGAAAACGTAAGACTAATTTTATATTTATTACATTTAATCAACCCAGTTGTGATCAAATGTTTTCACAGTTAAAGCCATTGTTACAAATCTGCAAACAAGCTAGTTTTTGAACGCAAACATGGTCTCAACACAAACACTCTCCCCTCTGGTATCTTCCCTGAGACGCGTGTGCCTGTGTTGTGTCGATATGTGTTCCCCCCTCGAGATCTGTGTTTTTTTGCACCCAGCTGCAAGTGGAAATGACCCAATCACAAAAAATAACCCTCACCCTAACCATAACCTCCCTGTCACCAAAAATGTATGTTTTACATCAATATAATTTTTGAAAATATTGTGTGTAGCACAATTTTTATGTTTGTTTCAGGGTTACGGTTAGGGCAAGGGTTGGGGTAAGGGTTAGGACACACATTTTTTGCATGTGGATGGTTCAAACATGCAGCTGGGTGCAAAAGAAACAGATCTCGAGGGGGGAACACATTTCGACTTAACACCGGAAGCGGACGCCCGTGATGCAGCAGGATACGAGATAGCGCCAAACACCAGTCACCGTTTTCTTGGTCCAAACGTCTTTTGTTGTCCGTGACTTCAAATGGTGTTTTTCTTGTCGGGACTCTGGTAATTTGCCCTAAAGTTGAAGTGGTAGCAGCAGGGTGTTTCTCCTTCTCTGACATTATTGAGCAGAGAATCTCTCGCACCAGTGGTGTTCTGATGTTAAATACACAAGTGTGTTATGAGTGGAGGACCCAGAGAAGCGCAGCGGTTCAGCTAGACCAACAACCGGATGGTCCAAAAGTTTCTTTCGAAACGTGTTATTGGCGGAGGTTTTTAGACAAATGCGAGAGAACCAATTTTTTTTATTCCAACAGTACATTTATTTACTATGTTAGATTGTTATTAAGAGGCATAAAAATGTTTTAAGCGCATTTGTTCTCCAAATTTGTCAGCTTTAAAGCTTCTCATATGATTCTGTAGCGTTTTATATTTCTGCTGCTAAACTTCCAATTAAACACATTTGACCCTAAAGCCTCTAAAATAATTCTGTGCATGCTCCCTTTGCACAAAATGTATCATGTAATGTAAATTTATATCTGTTGTTGGTACACTGACTTACCTACTCAAATGTGGTTATGTGTGTGCATGCAGTGTCTATTTATACTGTATTTTAAAGGGACACGTTGCAACTTTTTCATATTTTTAAATAATTGTCTTGAGCCAGTATGTCCTAAAATAACATTTACAGGGTTAAATATAGCTCTTATTGCCCCCTGTGGCCACAAATTTCCACATTGAGCTGACATACCTAGCGCTGCAGTCTGGTTCCAGTATGTTTCCTGCATGTTTTACATCATGAACACAGCTATGTTTTGTTTCGTGATGAATCACTCCTGTAGGCACTAATGAAGGCTGGGGAGACATTTCAGCTATTAGATTAAGGTGTTAAAAAGACGAATGCACAGCGAGGAGACAGGTTTTGTTTTCAGTTCTACAAATGGACCCTAGGGGGTGCTAAAAACAAGCCAAAACTGATTAGTTCCCCTTTAAGGAATTACTATTCATTCGAGGAAAGAAATTGTTTTGGGATTTTGGGACAAACTGGATGAACTTCTTTCTTGCCCCTTATGAATACTTTTTATTTTGAATGACAAAGAATCTTAATAATTTTTGGAAATTTAATGTTTTTAAACAATAGGGTTCCACAAGAGTTCTACAGCCCCCAAGGAGCTCCACAACACAAACAATCATTTACCCATTGAAGACGAGTGGTGTACCCACAGCTGCCCTTGGGTGCAGAGATGCGAGGCTTGCACGCTGGCGCCACCGGTCCCTCCAATCACCAACGGGCAAGGCAGGATAAGTGTCTTGCCCAAGGACACAACAGCAGCATTATCTGGTGGCCGGGATCGAACCTGCAACCTTCCAATTACTAGAATACCCACTCTACCTCCTGAGCTACCTGTTTCAACATGATTTTTCCTGGTATTTGATGTGTTGGAATTCTGTTTCAAATAAAACAAAAGTCCCAGAACTAAAACGGAGGAATCATGTTTTATGACTGTTCGAGAAAATGATCAACAGACATGACGTTTTGTGTCTATAATGTCTTAAGATTGTCCTCTTTTCAGAATTAAACAAAAACTGAATAACTGAATGTGTTGGATGTAAACATTTAGACTGATATATTTTAGGTTCATCAGATAGAAGACATCATATTTTTGGTCCTTGAAGCACACATCTGTTATTTATAACTTCTGAACTTTCAAGTTCAGCGTTTCAGCTCGATCCTTCAAATCCACCACCACCTTGCCCCTGGAGAACTGATCAGATGAGTCAAACCTGGTGCGTGTGCGTCCGCTCTTTTCCCTCCAGTTAATTAGAAGAAACTGTGTAAAACGTCCGACCTATCTCACCACAGGCCTCTTTAGTTCCGACCGTGACAGGACCGATGACGGAAGCAGTGACCCTCTGACGTGTCCCCTCCTGCACTGTGAGAATCATCCAGGTGTATAAAACGGGAGCAGAGCTGAAGGCGAGCAGGAACGCATCGGATCCGCTGTGTGGACGTACAGCAGCTGTTCAGGTTCGAGACTTTGAGCAGAGGAGGGGAAGAAAACCAAAGAACACAACTTCCTTCAGAGCTCATGTGAGGCGTTCATTTAAAATGTTCTAGATTTGTTGGTATTTTTATTTTTATGTGCGTCTATCTCCTGTTTTGTTAATTAGACACATTACATTACACTTTGTTTATAATGACGACAGAGAGGCTCTTCTGTGATTTCCTCAAGCTGACTCGTTGCTGTTGACTGCGTAATTGCGCATTGAAATTTGCGACTTGCTTTTGTTGTTTAGCATTGATCAGATACAGTTTTTCTTTAAGATTGCGTGAATTTTAAAACGTTACACGCCAAATACCGATCAAATTTGCCAACTTTAGCATTTTGGTACATTTCCAGCCTTCTTTGAAGCATTTCAGGTGAAGTTGTGACTCTTGTCAAAATTACACCGAAGAACAAACTCTTCAAGTGAAAAACGGCTCAACACGTTGCTTCGTGGTTTATATTTGCGTAATGGAGTAAGTCTTTGTCGAGCCGTGCGTAATTACGCACGGGATTCTCTTGACTTAATCTCGTCTACTTTTCAAATTAAACATTTAAAGACATTTTTATGAAAACATTTTATGCAAAGGCTTTCAATGCAGAAAAAGGATGCCACATTATTGTGTTTACTCTATAAATTACATTCAGTTGTGAATCTGACGATAATGGAGCGTTTTTGGTCTCTATGTTATTGTTGCAGCCAGAATAACTTTCTTCGTTTCTTTTCAGGTGTAAAGTGATGTTCCAAAGAAGCGGTCCCCAGATGCTTCTCCTTATAGCCCTGTGCAGTGTGTTATACTCCCGGACTCTAAGTCTACCGTACACGTCAATGAGGTGAGCGCGAGATGAGCAGATATTTGAGATGGTTTCCTTCTGGAAACACGATCAGGTTCACTCATAGACGGTCAGAAATCATTTGGCAGTCTTGTCTAGCAGCTATAAGCAGAAGATGAAAAAATGCGTTAAACGAAGTTAAAAAATACCAATTACCATCAACTTAACGTCTCATTAAAACATTTGAAATCACTTTAATATGCATTTTTTGGGGATTTGTTTAATTATTTTCCGCATTTAAATTCATAATTCCATTCGCGCAATTGCGCGCAGGGGCGCAAATAAGCAGAGTTGTTGCGCTTCTCGTTCCCAAACGTTTGATATGATTCTGTGCAGACCGACGAGACACGCAGACGGTCTGTTCACCAGCGGATACAGCAAACTCCTGGGACAGCTATCAGCGAGGAGATACCTGGAGTCTCTGATCGGGAAGCGGGTCAGGTAGGGACGGAGAGCGGTGCACACGAACCAAAACATTTCGAGTAGAGCCCAGTATAGCCTCCATCGAAAAAACATTAGGCAAACACACAATAAAATAAAGTAAACAAAAGGCAATAAAACTTTAAGAATTTTTCATAGCAGAAAAATGGTTACATGACTTATGGGTTTACTGGGTTTAAACAAATGCATCCTTTGTTTAAAAGACATTATAAACCGAACTTTAAATAATTTAAAGAAGTGAAGAGGCAAAAGCTGTATTCACAGATTAAACCAAAAACATCCATCTCCTTCTCCCCAGAAATGACCTTTTTCATCATTTTCATTGAGAAATTTTTGCTCAAATTTATTCTGTTTCTGCTTTAAAAGTAAATGATGACATAAAAAATTAATCATAATTTTAGTTTAACCACTTTACCAAAAAAACACCATTGTTATCCATTATTGAACACCAGAAATCCAACTGACATTTTAAAATGAAAAGATCTGACCTGCTTGATGATGCATTTCATAATTGGCAAAACCCTTTAAAGGTTAATGAATGCCATTACACACACACACACACACACACACACACACACACACACACACACTGACTTGGTACATAAATCTGCTTCTCTCAGAATCGTTGTGTCACTCTGAGTTAATCTCTTCTGTTCAGTGATGACCTGATGGATGAGCCGGTGAAGCGCCACTCAGACGCCATCTTCACAGACAACTACAGCCGCTTCCGCAAACAGATGGCTGTCAAAAAGTACCTCAACTCTGTCCTAACAGGGAAAAGAAGGTAAGAGCCACAGTGCATTTTTAGAGTTAGAGTGAGAGTAATTCATTTTGACAGCAAATAGACAAAAAATAAAAAGCAACACAAAGAAATAATGAAATTTTTTTCCCAATAAAAATAGCCTAGAAGACCCAGGAACCAGTGAGCCAGAGGAGTCCAGGGACGAACCGAACACGTTTCAGGAGAGTTATGACGACATCAATGTAGACCACCTCCTAAACAAACTTCAGCTGGTGAGTTTTAAGAGTTTATTGCACTTTTATACAATCTCGTTTAATTACCCAAAACAAACAGAGTTGATCTGAGGGTTGAAAAATATCAAGAATATAACCTAAATGTGTGCAGAGGACTTATTTTCATTCTGTTGAATACTTTAGCAATAAAAGCATCACACATCGCCAGATGTCTGTAGATGTTGTCCTGACAGCAGACTTGTCATTTATGGCAGTTAGAAGCTGAATCCTACTACCAAAAACCACAATGCTAACAATATCCTAAAAGCAGTAAAAATGTAAAAAAAAAAAAAAAAAAAAAAAAAATCAAAGTTACTAAAATATGATTGTAGTTTCCAGTTTTTCCAATTCAGTAACCATTGTCTTTTTATTTTTGTTTGCAGCCACTTTGAGGAGAGGTCCGCACTTGACTATATACCTCATCCTATAAAAAAAGCTCTTTGTAAAGAAATAATACACACCTGGTATTAATCCAAAGGATGCTCCAAATCAGATCAACCAACGACAAGGTGTTTTCCAGTGTGGTGATTTATCTATCCATCTCCACATGCTCACACTGTATTATATTTAAACAATAACAAAAGACTCTTCTGGCTGAGTTTATGTGCAGGCACGGCGGGCAAACGGCAACAGGAAATTTAACAGAAGGATTATGTTTGTTGTTTATGTTATATTATTGAGTTATGATTTATTTTCTGCATTTAAAATAAAAACAAGCCCTGGTAGACTTCAGGTTCAACCAGGGAGTCACAAATGACTTTAATTTCATATTTAACTCAATTCAAATGGAACAACTTCTCCTAATCGTTGCTTTGCTTCATTTTATTATGAGATTTATTTCCCCCTTTCAACAAGTCTAAACTACCTTTCAGTGGATGAAAACATAACCGTAATGGTGATTTTTGTTGAAATGTTCACTGTGTAAAATAAAACGTTCCCTTGTTGGAGCAAATCTAAGCTCCGCTGGGCAAATTTATGGTAAAGTATAGCTTGTAAATGCTCATCTGAATGTAATTTTGTTTGGTATGTTTAAACTCTGAATCTGAACTTTGAATCGACTAATTAGGTCAGGAGCCTTTAGTGAAAATTCTGTAATAAGAATAAAATTTCTGCTCCAATAAAATAATTTCTATTGGATTTCAGTGAGAACATTAACCCTCTGGAGGCAGGCGTTGCAGATGTGCAACGTTAAAACCTACCTACCTGGTTACTCCACATACGTGGAGCATTTTTAAACTCAGAAGCACCCCTGAAGGACTTAGTTGTTCGTCCTTTTATCAAAACTTGAGCCTGAGAGAATTAAATGAAAAAAAAAATTTCATTGCTTTATTTGTTTTTAGTCTTTCTATAAATCATCAAATTAATTCTGTTTTTTTTTTCAATAATTATGAAAAATCCCATTTTATTTGTTTGTTTTATTGCTGGGGCTCACAATGTTATGATTGTGAAGTGTTTTGTGATTATAATGAATAAAAGACAACTGTATAGGGAAGAGGAAATCATGATGAAAGAACACAGATGCATTTAATCACTTTCTATGTAGGTCAACACTGTTTTATCTGTGCATAGCGCTGCCTTTAGCACATTTAGTGATGTTCACCACTGACCAAATAAAAGATGTGGGTTTATTTTTCAAAGCTGAGTTGTCTCGTCTGGCTGATTGTGTGATGGTCATCAGAAGCTTTTTCTACAACTTACAACACAGTTTGACAGTTTTCACTGGTTGAACTGCTTACACTGGTGTTCCCGGGTCAGCTGATGTAAGTGAAACAACTGTCACATTAAAGATGAAAACACACTGGGACATTTGAGTAAAATGGCTTTAATGTTTCCTCTCGGCTGACGTGAAGTTCAGTGATTATGACATTAAAGTGAATGATGCAGTTTCTTATTTATGCAACATCCCAACACATAAACTATCCAGGTTTTTTGGTTAACTTTGGTTTAGGATGCTATTACAATTTTGGAAACTAAAGTATTTGTCCCTACCTGCTGAACAAAACCCGATTTAAAGCATATTTAAACAGTGAGAATAATGATTCTGATTGCATTCCCATGATTTATTCATTCATCCATTTATTTAAGTTTGAGTTTATCTAAAACACAGAAAGCAATTTGGTCAAACTACTGTAATTGACACTTATACTCCTGTACACATGGACTAAGTTTCTTGTATTAGTTTAGATTATTTTTATTTGTTAATATTTAGGGAACTTTATTTTCATGTTTTTTTATTTTATTAATTATCTATTTTACATAAATTATATTTAGTTTTAAAGGTGTGGTTGACTCCTTGCAATGCAGTAGTTGTAGTTGTAGTGGTATGAATGCCTTGTAAGTCGTAATCTGGGGGGGAGGGGGGGGGGGGGGGGGAGAGCACCGGTGCATCATTTCCAGGAACTAGAAGTGAACCACATCACAGCTGAGCTTCAGACAGATTTGGAGTCTTATTTCCTGATATTTAGACATCTCGCCTCAGATTGGAAAACAGAAACACAACTCTACCACTGACTCCAACATTGATGGAGTTGGAGGGCCTGGATGAGTTCTGCTGTGGAGTTGCTAATGCTAACGGTTAGTTTCTACTAGTCGAGACATAGACATTTAGGTAGATGCCCCATGGACTGGCGCTGACAATCGGTGCTGCTGTAGTGGCCGGCTGCCATTTTAGATGGGTCTCCAGTGCATTCATTTCTGCTGAGGAAGGTGCTTACACAACTAAAATACACACTTTATCAAGCTTTTTCACAAACTCAGACACATGGTATGGCATGACAATTAAATTATACACAATACAAAAGCATAATCTTTGGTCTCAGAAATTAAAACGAAAGATGTAGTTAAACTGGCAGTGTGTAATTTCCCTAGTGATAGGGGGCAGTACATATCCAAATGATTGGAAGCAAGCCTTACTTTTCTGTTCAAGTAAGACCTTACCAACGGATGGCCATTAGGGTCAAAAATCCCTGGGAGCGAAACCTCCAGCAAAATAACAAGCACATTAGATTCCCTTTCATTACTGGCGACGAGGTAAATGTGTAAAACAACAACGTTTAACAATTGTGAAAGTTTTTTAATAATTTGTTACAAAACAGTAAATGCATTTTGTCCTCATGGGCTTCTGTAGAATCTGTAATTTAGAACAGATTTTTATGGTTATATGTTATGAAACTGCCAATGTTTTTCATCAACTGGGCATCTTTTAATTCATTTACAACAACATTTTGATGGATAGTTTCAGAGATTAATGGTAAAAACTACACACTGTCTCTTTAAACCTGATTTTAATGTAGATTGTTCTTTTAACTCATTCACTGCCAGCCGTTTCCTGATCGGTAACACAGTTTGCTGCCAGCGTTTCTCACCGTTTTTACAGTTTTTTTGAAGAGTCACAGAACTTAGCGCGCTAGGATGATGTCGACACCAAAACTACCAAAACAAAGAGTAGACTCACCTCTTACATCAGGAAGAATCTGTGTGTTTCGAGCATTATCCGTTCTTTCATAATCTGTTGTCGAATTGTGATCGGTAGAAGCTTTTCGGGTTCACGTCTCACTTTTTTTTACAGTGACAGACCAAAATGATCTCCTAAAACATGGATTTTCTGCTTCCTGATCATGTGACATGTGACGTACACAGAAGAAGATCAACTTTAGAGCTGAGATGTTTGTTCTCACGGTGAGGGGCTCGTTCTGATGCCCACACAGTATAAAAATGCAGTAAATGAGTTAAAAGATGATTAAGTGAAAAACAGCAGAAAATGTTTTTTGATCAAACTACAGACACCCGTTAGGTTAAGTTAAGTTAAGTCAAGTTAAATTTTTAAGTTAAGGTAAGTTAAGTTAAGTTGCCTATGCCAAGCTGGAAGGAATATAGCTCATGAGATGAGGCATGTAACTGAATGGATTAAAACATCAACTTCAGCACCATGGACAGAGACACTTTCAACAACAGCTCATTTATAGTTATTTGTTTTGCCTGTTTCAAAACTAGATTTGAACGTCATTTTTCTGATAAAAAATGTTTAAGAAATGTTTAATAAAATGGTGATGGCCTGTTTTTTGCACTCAGCTCTAACAGGTCCAGAGATGCTAAATAAGCTGGGAGACCAGATGATGTTCAAATGGAATGCAGATCCACCTGCAGCATCTGACAACTTCTCTGTTTCATTTATTAAAGGGATGGATGGTGTTTTTCTGGGACATTTTCTTCCATGTTGCCAACAATGCTTTCCACATGCTAATGGCATAATTTTAATCAACCCTGAAACATAGCCTACAGTCCTGGCTAAACCTCATCCAATCATCGTGAATGTCCTGTCCTTAATGATTGGATCATAACTAATCCATCACGCTGCCCTCTGACAGGAATAAGTGATCTACATTACTATATTCTGAAGGCATGACTTTTGGGGGATCCTGGGATGGGGTTGGACCTTTGAATTGTTTATATTAAAACAACAGCTTTTTCAGGAACCCTGATCTTATCTTCTAAGGTTGGTTTGATATGTAATCTGCTTACATAATTTTTAATTTTACAGCCTGAACTGGAGATGCTCACATGCTTGGTTGCAAAGTCACAACTGTTTTTAAGAAACTTTCGGATTTTGAGTCTGAACTAATTTAATATAAGATTTCACGTTTTTATCTCTTAAAGAGCAAGTCACCCCCAAATAAACTTTTTTTCCTGATAAACTATATAAATGTGTGTCCAATCGTGCTGCAGACACATGTAGTCAATGGTTTAGCGCTTTAGTGCATTTTAGTTTGAATTTAAATTTTCTGCCTAAAACTGTCAGTGTTGTGCTGTTGTCAGGTAAAAATTCTGCACTGCATTTGAATTTAAATCAGCCATCGCTATTGGCTGAGAGGTACCCTAGAATGTAAGCTGGTACCATATGATATCACAATGTCGTTGTGAGCCTGTGTGTGTGTGTGTGTGTGTGTGTGTGTGTGTGTGTGTGTGTGTGTGTGTGTGTGTGTGTGTGTGTGTGTGTGTGTGTGTGTGTGTGTGTGTGTGTGTGTTAGCGGCTCCGCCCTCTCTGTCTGCTAGGCATCAGCATTTGTTGCATTTTTCAAACAGGAAGTGGGAGTGGAGTAATACTCTGGTAGGGGGTGACTTGCTCTTTAATGACCCTGGAAACAAAAAGCTATGAAGAAAATAAATGAAGGAACATTAAATTCATCCTTAAAACATCTTATGGATTTTAAAGATTTAATTAAAACACCACATAACGATAAAGATTTTAAATTAAGAAAAAAAATTCAACAAACGTTAACATTAACCTCTCTATGTGTGACCACAGTGAGTCTGCACATGTAGAATGTGTTTTAACACACGTGTGTGTGTGTGTGTGTGTGTGTGTGTGTGTGTGTGTGTGTGTGTGTGTGTGTGTGTGTGTGTGTGTGTGTGTGTGTGTGTGTGTGTGTGTGTGTGTGTGTGTGTGGTGCTTTGTGATTGCTGGCTGCGTTGTGGAGAGGCTTCACTCATTAACTATCATCACGGCTGATCTTAATGGACCGACAGGGTAAAAATAGACAGAGAGAAAAAGACTGCAGCCTTTTAAAACCAAACACTGTGAGTCTTTTTGTGTCTTCAGCACCAACAAAATCCATAACTTTTTAAAAACACACTTGAATCTACAAGATAATGCATAAAGGGAGGCTAATTAGCTCATAACACCTTACTTATTCTTGTATTCTTATACCATAACTTTGCATTCATAACCCCACAAATAAAGACTGTGACGAGAGAAAGCGATGATGATTCATCTGTTGATGAAAGGAAAGTTTGGTTTGCGTGCAGAATTCTGAGTCACACATAAATTAAAGCCTTTAGCGAAAACATTTTCTGTAATATTTGTCTTTTTGTTTCAGCGGTTTGCATTTAACAGCAAAACACAGTAGAAACAGAGCATGTTTGAAATGTACAGAGATGCATGACTTGCTAGATGAATTGTAAGTTGTTGTATTTGATGTTACAAGTCAGCTGGAAAAACACTCCTTATCCCATAAGGCATCACTCAAATGATAAAATCATTCTCCTCTGGTGCTTTCACACTGGGACAAGGACACTCTCTTCTAAAAGAGTACAATTTAAGAATAGATGTTTTCTGATTTTAAGCATAGAAAACTTTTCTGCACCACTAAACCGCCGTTCTCTCAACACAGCTGTGAACTCAGCTTATTTGTTTTTCTTTGCTTTTGAATCACTTCCTGTTTCATTTTTGCTGAAGGCGCCCTAGTGACAGCCTCGTTTCAGTACTTCTTATAATTATGCTTTGGTGACATACAGCCAATCGACCTGCAGAAGTCACTGCACATCAAGATCACCAACCTGAGAAAAAAACAGAGACGCCACTCACATGTTGCTCCATCAAGCACTGACCCCCACTTCCTCTGGCTTTAGGCAGAAATGAGCTAAAAGCAGAAAAATGTTGAACTTCAAACGAGGGTGGGTGGGACTCAGAGAGCAAAAATAGTAACAGACAAGATGAGACAAGGAGATAAAGGCTTTTCTCAAAAACATTGACACGTCTTATCTTCATGTCCAAATTTACAGGTTGTCCGTGGTGTCTGGTACGCTCTGATGTGTGTATCTGAGAATAAAACACACCCTCACACACACATTAGCACCCTGCTC